CAAAGAAAGACACTATGTACTAGAATACGAGTTTAACCTGGATAGAGTATTCTTTTCCATTTCTTAACAGAATTCCACTGGCAGGTGCTGCAGAGCTGGTCTACTTAGGAGGTAACTTGTACTTAGGAGGGTGGAAATCATGAGACGTATTTTAACAGAGCTTTAATTATTTATTTTTCCTTGGAAGAGAAGATGGATCCCTACCAGATCACTCTAGGATACAGGATATTCGGGTTTAACAGTATATGGTTGGCATAAATGCAATGCTCCAGTGGGAATTGAAATGATTTCTTTAATTGTATGTCAAACTGAATAATCTCCTAGGAAAATGAACCTCCTCCTCTAGTTCTTTCCTACCTCCCGCCCTTCCCCCATCAACACTGCCTCCCTGCTGTGCACAGAGCCCTTTGTCCTGCCCTGCACTTATCTAGCTGTTTGGCCATATTGACAGGCCTACTAGAGGCATAATAAGGGAGTCAGGCTGACATAAGCAGCTGGCAATTTGAAACAAAAATCTTCCTTTTCTACTCAGACCAAATCCTCCTGCAGAGGTCTGTGGCTCCTCCTATGCATCCATCTATTTTTCAAACAGAGCAGTAAGGATTCAGCATTTCCCCTTGATTAGGTACCACAAATCAAAAACTTGATTCCCCTGATAGAGACCCATAATGTATAAATTCCTATAGCTACTGCTTTTGTGTAAGGAAATAATTATTTCTTCATTTTGAAATTAAAACTCTGGGAATCCTCATACTACAGAAGAGCACAGAAGAGACATGAAGCTACAGACAGATTCATCAAGTAAAACTGTCCTGTAATCGTAAGTGTTTTTTTGAAAAAAAAAAAAAAAAAACTAAGATTCTAAAAAGCACAAAATTCAAATAAAATAAATGACAGAAAATGAGGCAAGATGGAGTTACAAATTTTTTTGCTCAGAGAGAGCACATATAAAGACTGAGACTTAGCTGTTTTCTTTTATCCTACAGATCCCTTTAGTAAGTATTAAGACTTTGAAAAGGTAGATATAAGGGAATTCTCTAAAATGATGTTCAAACAGCACAACTCTCAAAGTTATTGGGCAGCCTTTACCTAACTTTCAACTGAATACACAACAGGACAATTTAGGTAAGGAAAGGAAGAGATATTTTACTTTTCAGGACCTTCCCTGAATATTAATCATTAGTTATCAATCATTACACCAAGTTAAAGGTCACAATGCCATTTTACCTTGAATCTGGAATTCCTGGCAGCAAGGAATGGTATTAGTTCCTGTCCATCATAGGTACATTACACTTTCTATGGAGTGAAAGGATATTTTAAATCCAATTATAAACGACTACCAGTTGTATTAGTATATACATGTTCTCACACATTTTGTAGAGTCAAACTGTTTTACATCTTAAGTAAAATATACCTATCAAGAAATCTTAGTTTTCAAGCTACGCACAGTGGCACATGCCTGTACTAATCCTAGCACTCTGGGAGGCTGGGGAAGTAGGACTGCAAGTTCCAACCCAGGCTGGGCAACTTGGTAAGACCCTGTCTCATAATTTAAAAATCAGGTGGGATACAGCTAAATGAGAAGGCCATGGGTTCAATACCCCAGTACCACCAAAGAAGAAATTTTAGTTTTAATTTTCAACCAGACATGGTGGCGCACACCTGCAGCTCCAGTACTCTGGGAGGCTATGCAAGGAGGATCACAATAGAAGCCCACTCTGGGCAATGTAGTAAGAGTCTGTCTCAATAAATAAAAAGGGTTAGGGGTGTAGTTTAGTGTGAAGGCAGGCCCTGGGTTCAATACTCCCCAAAAAGCTTTCAAAATCTCAAACACAGCTTTTGTAAATAAAACTCACTACTAGGCCGTCTAATATCAAATTAAACTGACAAATGACTTTAGTTCAACCAAGGTTAAAAAAAATTGTATTCATTCACGGTCCACTTTCTCTCAGGCAAGATGTGAGCAACAATTACTGACTTGTTAACTTTGGCCTAACATTTCCTGAGTTATTTCAATACAAAGAGGTAATACAACAGGGCAATCTGTACTACATTTTGTACAATTTTCCCCATCCAAAGGTAAAAATGAAATAGTTAATCGCCTTAAAGGACCAGAATAATTTCAGAAAGTATGTAAGTCCCTGGACACAAGACCCCCATCAAAAAAACATAAAAAATTTCAAGTGTATTAATTCAATAAATCCTAGTATGAGCCCTCAGATTATGATACTATAACCACAACGAGCCCCCAAAATTAGGAAATACAAGTGAAAAGACAATTATTTTACAACATAACTTTCACATTATACGGTAATTTTAACTAAAAACTACCTTAAACTACATGAAACAGCCAATGTAAGTAAAATTATTTTACCTATTATGGTTATCTTATACAGGCAGTAATAATTAAGAATTAGAACCACTTAAAATATTACCCATTAAAAATTGTTTTATAGGTCTACTTTTAGCACTGATAACACAAGCCACATTGGTGAATGACAAAACACTCCCCACTCTTTGCTTTCCTGCCATACAAGCCAGAATCATACTTCAAATTATAGACATTAAGTGGGATTTAAGTACATTACAAAACTGAACAAATCAAAATCTGAGGGGAAAAAAGGAATAGGTTGCAAGGGTTTGGGGAGGAAAAAAAATGTGGGCACATGTTAAGTTCTGCATGTAATTGGTGGTGTATTTGGGTGGTGGGCCTCCTCTTAGTAGTTCCACACCCAACTGACTGTTCTGCTTATTCAGAGATCAGGAGTTGTGGGGGAGGGGAAAAAACATAAGGAACTCTGGCTGTATGCTTGGTATCCCTATTCAATTTCTAAATATTCCTTCTGGGTTATCCATATTTCAGGTAGATTATGGATTAAGATACATCCTAGAAGACTATTCCCAACATGCACGTATTGAATTAAATTTATAGGTAAAATACCAAAAAACCAAACCAAAACAAAATATATTAAGAAAACATTTATATTTACAAGTAACTCCAAAAAGGGCAGTTCTTTTTTAAGTTTAACATTGCAAGTTTAGTAAAACGTGTAGCAAAGCACCTATTCCAATGGACTTATCAATGCAAGGAGACCCAAAACAAACAAAAAAATCAAATCTGACTCAATGATTAAAGAGATGGAGCAAAACATGTCAGTTGTAGGAAATAGAACAAAACCCGATTTCCCCTCTATTGTGGTTTCAGGAAGATCTTTAAATTCTAATTACTTGGGTTTTAAATGGATTAAAAACAAACCTCTAAACTTTTAGTCCTATCCAAGCACAAAATACACAATCTGCTAAAACAAGAAAAAAAAAAAAAAAAACTACAACCAACCAAAAACAAGTCTTTAACTATGATCCAGTTTCCAGATGCTGATACCCATAAACGAATAGAAGGTTATGAATTACCAATTTTCATCTCCCACCAGTAAAAGGCAAACCAGCTCAGCAGCAAAAAATCCCAGGCAAGCAAGGGTTCTTGTTAGTCCTGAAACAGTCATCACACTGCCTAAGTGCAGCTCCCTGCAGCCAACAGCATTAATGGACGCTGCACTGCTGTCCTTCCCTGGAGACAGCAGCCAGCACTACTCAAGCTTCTCACGTAGCAACCAGAGCTCTAGAGCCAGCAGCTGCTGCTGCCTTGCATACTCACCCCAGTGATCCAACACAGGAACAACCTTCTCTTTACCCCACCCCCACTCCTTACACACTTTTTTTTTGTGGAGGGGGGGAGTGTTACAAGCTAGAAGGGCTACAATTATGCTTTTAGGGCGAAACAATCTTAAGGTCACCTTTTTAAATTGAGCTCTTTTATTAGAAAAATCAACATTTACCAAATTCCAAATACTCGTTTTAATTAAGCCAGCAATTTAGGAGCAAAGACTAAGCTGTAATCTTCACAGGGCCAATTTTCTAAGCACTCAACAGTCAAATTTAAATTTGCAGCTAGACACAGCCTGTGCCATGTCCTACCAAAGGACATAATTCTTTTTTCTACACATAACAGTCTGAGTTAACCATAAAGACTCTTAATCCCATAACGGGCCAGAATATTTGGCTACAGAAGAGAATTAATGATTCTCCTGAGAATGCTTGAAGAAAACCAACAAGAAAAGATTTCCTGCGTCCTCCAAAGGGCCCACAAACCTCTGATGATGTATTTTCTGCCTTAGTCCTAGCTCAGATTGCACACACCTAAAAATTACCCCTTATAACTTTCCTGAGCGACCTAAAAACACTAAAAATTAACCATCAAAAATACTGTCCCCCAAATTCGGAGCACACAGATATTCTCCTGAAAAGCTCTAAACACACAACTCAGCTGGATCCTCCACAATTAAAAACATGCCCAAGAGAAAAAGGTAAATGTGACCTTGGTCACCAAAAAACAACTTATTTAGTCAAGGATGAAGGAAATCAGAACCTGGGGATTGTTTCAGTACAGTGAGCAAAGAAAAACTGGAGAATGAATTTAGGTACAGACAAAGCAGTGAGACCAGAGCTCTGGGCAAAAAGTGAGTTACTGGTGAACACATTGCACAAGTAACATGAGAAAGCAGAAAATGCAGGTCATACACGCACCCCTGACCCAGACCAGCAGGGCTGGCTGCAGCATCAGCATCCAGGAGAAAGACCACTTATTTCAGAGAAGGAAGATGAGCAGAGCTCTATAGAATAAATTAGCATAGCAGGGGCTTTCCCAGCAGTTAAAAACTTTCCCTTCTCACGCGATTCATCTACTTAAACCAGGGCTTTTTTCCACCACTACTGACTTCACATTTTGCTTTGCACGCAGAGGGAGAGAATTCATAAAGCGTGTATTTTTCTGTCTTGAAAAACGTTCTCAAAAGATCGCTCTCCACGCCCAAGGAAGGGAAAACGACAAAACCTGGCTCAACTCCATGCTGTAGCCCTACAGACTCAGTGGGGAGATCTCAGATATCCGGGAGCATTCACCACAGGGAGCCTAAGAATGTTAGGTGGGGGTGGAGAAGGTAATGTCTTCAGTGTGGGAAAGGAAGCAGCCATCTGAGAAGGCGACTCGAGCACGAAAGGGAAGGCGTCCGGAAGATCACGGAGAGGATCGGAGCTATCAGAGTTGTCACAAGGCCGCAGGAACGGGGGTACGGGAACAGAAAGACCAGTGTGCCCGTGTGTTTTCGGGGAGGGAGAGCGAGGCCTACCCTCCAGGCAAAGGTGAACGTGGAGCAGGCAGTTCCCAGGGTGGGGAGGCGTGGGGGAGGGGAGCGTCCTGCCCTGGAAAAGCACGAAAGGGGAGTGGAGTCGGCTCGATCGCGGGGACCCCTCTGCCGGGAGGAGAGGGGCGGCGGCGTGTAGGGGTTCGAGGGGCGGTATCCTCCTGCTGAGCCCGGGAGTACCGGGCCCGCGTCCCGAGGACGCGAGCACCGGGAGACGGGCGAGGTGACCCTTCCTTCCTTCTTTCCCGGGACCCGATGTGAGGGTCGGGGTCTCCTTCCTGTCGGACCCTTACCTTGTCCCAGGCGCGGCCGGGGCCTGGGCCCGGGCTGCGGCGCACGGCACTCCCGGGAGGCAGCAAGACTCGAGTTAGGCCCAACGCGGCGCCACGGCGTTTCCTGGCCGGGAATGGCCCGAACCCGTGTGGTGGGGGTGGGGGACAGAAAGGCGGAGCAAGCCGAAGGCGGGGAGGGGGAAGGGCCAGGGAGGGAGGGGGCCGGCGCTACTGTGTTGGCGGACTGGCGGGACTGGGGCTGCGTGAGTCTCTGAGCGCAGGCGGGCGGCGGCCGCCCCTCCCCCGGCAGCGGCGGCGGCGGCGGCGGCAGTGGCGGCAGCAGCTCACTCACCCCGCTGCCGGAGCGGAAACGCCACTGACCGCACGGGGATTCCCAGCGCCGGCGCCAGGGGCACCCGGGACACGCCCCCTTCCGCCGCGCGATTGGCCTCTCTGCCCATCGCCCCGCACCCATTGGCCCGCTCGCCGCCAATCAGCGGAAGCCGCCGGGGCCGCCTGGAGAAGAGGCTGTGTTCTGGGGCTGCGGCTCCTCAGAGAGCCTCGGCTAGGTAGGGGAGCGGAACTCTGGTGGGAGGGAGGTCCGGTGGTCTGGGGGAGGGGTGGCTGAGGTGGACCGACTGTAGCTGGGAGTCTCCTTCTCCAGCGGGATGTCGGAATAGGACGATTTAACTATTTGGACGCGAACTGGGGTGGTCGGATACGAACGGAGGGCGGCCCGCCCTGCGGCAACCGGAGGGGGAGGGAGAAGGGAGGGGAAAAGGCTCGAAGCCGGACAGAGCCATTGCTCTTGTGGAGGGAGGGTCGCTTCCGGCCTCATCTCTTGTCGCTGATTGGCCATTTCTCCTCCCGCCGTATGTGAAAACACAAATGGCGTATTTTGGTTGGAGTAAAGCGCCTGTCAGTTACAGCCTTGGAAGTGCGCAGCCGCCTGGCTACTCGCGCGGCCCCCTGGGTGGGGCGGGAGGGTAGGTGGGGTGAGGCCAGGCTGTGCGGGCGCGGTCGGCCTCCGCGGGGGAGGGGAGGTCAGTGAAAGTGGCTCCCGCGCGGACGTCCTCCCACCCTCCCCTGCCTGCAGGGGAGTTGGTTTGCCCGCCGTCTGTTAGGCTCCGGCGTCTGATTGGCTGCTGTGTCCCGGGGAATGGACTCTTGCTATTGGCTCTGATTCCAAGTGAGCGAAACCACTTGGCGGGCCGTCAGGGGTGGCGGAGAGGCGGGCGTTGGTTCGGCCCTCCCCGAGGTCCTGCGCCGCAGTGTCTGGCCCCGCGCCCCGGCGCAACGTGGCAGGAAGCGCGCGCCGGAGGCGGGGACGGGCTGCCGGCCTAGGCTTCTGGGTGTTGGCTGCCTCGGCTCCGCCCCAGTTGCCTACCTCTGGAAGGGCGAGAGGATCCGGACCCGCTCCAGGCAGCCAGGGGGGTGGGGGAGACGCAGTGGTCTGTTGGGCTGGTTTGGGGGCGGAAGGCGTGCGTTCTCCAAAAATGCGCGCGAGCTGCAGTCCTGAGCCCTGCAGTGTAGGGGGCGGAGAGAGGGCCGCACCCTTCTCGGTAGAGGGAGGGCAGTACCGCAATACCTTTCTGGGAGTTCTTTGCTGCCTTTAGTCCTTTAAGGACCGCCCTGGGCCTAGAAGAATCCCTCCCCTCCCCCTCTGTGATCTCATCGTCGCCTCCATGTCGATTCGCTTCGCGATTATGGGATTCTTTGGCCAGGCTTAAGGGCAAACCTGCTGCCTGGGCGTTGTCCTGTAGGAATGAAGCAGGTGTAAGATTTGAGGGGTAGAATTGAATTTGTGTCAGGAGGTAATTATAGGGGTGGAAGAGGGTAGTGGGGGCTAGGCATTCACAAAGCATTCACCTGGGATTAGCTTTACACAGATAGTGTGAATTGTTACTACTTGACTTGCTTTTTGGAGCATTTCTCCTGGAGATTGATTAAAGGTGTGACTGATTTTTATACTCACCCCACCAAAATACAATATAGCACCTCATATGGCCGTAAATTTTTTTGCTCGCTCTGCATCCTTCCCACGAGTATTTCAGCTACTCGTACTTTGGTCCCACTTTACATGTGTTACTTGCTTATCCAGTCTCCAGACCTGCCACTGGCTTTGTCCCTCCTGATCTTGAGTATGCCTGGTGAGTCATGAAACCAGACAGATTGGTTCCACCAGAAATTTACCTAGAAGTGCTTTTATTCCTCCTTAATGTACTTTCTGGGATATTTACCTTGATGTTGATTTTATCTTTTTTTTCCTCAGCTGGGATTCTTCCCTTGGGCCTGCCTATTCACAATCCACATAACTTTGATTACTGATCTCTAGCACCCTTTTGCCTTTAAACATTTCTCATTGCATCCCTTTATTTCTGTTCTCATCAGTTAGTAATTGAGCTCAGTAGATTGTATAACAGCTTCCCAACTTGTCTCTGCTCTATTATTTTCTGATACATCCTACATATTACCAGGATGACAGATGAAACTCCCTTACTGGTTATTTACTAGTAGGATGAAATCCATCCTCAGTGTGATAGCCAATGACCCTCACTGTTTTAGCCTCAACTTTTAAGCAGTTTTTTTCCTTTGTTACTATAGGGACAGGAGCCCCATAGGCAGAATAGAGAAGTGGGTGGTGGAGAGCTTCTGAGAGGGGCAAAAACACAAGGAAGTGAAACCTTAAACCGGAGATAGGACCATGTGTCCTAGGATGAGGGCAGTGACATGAGTAGAAGGGACCAAACCAACCACGACCCCTGCTGCACTTGTTAAAATGTATGGAAAATCCATTTAAAAGTGGGTAAGGGCTACATGACTGGAGATGGGGGACCCAATCATAACCCAAATCTGCCTGCATGACTTTTAACAACTCTGAAGGGGAAGAGAAATCCCCTAGGGATTTAAAAGGAAGTCTGCTCACCCCTAGCAATGGACTCCCAGCGCTAGGGTCCCTCCTCCTAGTGAGGAGTTCGTTCTCCTTCTGCAATAAACTTTTGCTTTGCAACACTAAGGACTTCAATCTCTATTTCTGTACTGAATTGAAAGTCCAGACCCGGGAAAGGAGACTAGGGGTGCTGAGTGGTTGTGACAATTTGGGGCTCCTGTAGGGTACTTGAAGACCACCAACATGGTCAGTATCATTTGGCCTAAACAGGCATCCCACCAGGGAGGAGTGACTGTATCTAGCACCTTCATCTTGTGTGATCATTTGGGGATAACCCTAGCCATGACTAACGTGGCTGAAATCTCCTGGCCAAGACCCCAGGAGGTAGGCAGGCAGGCCCCTTGTCCTACCCTCATACAGCTAACATGTAGTCCTCAAGAACCCTGCGAGCCTAGGAATTCAGCCAAGCTGTCTTGCTCCTGGTGACCTACCCAGGGAATTATACAGATCTGCCACATGCCAAGAAGCCCTTCTGGGAGACCATGGGGAGTGGTAGGCACCTCCCTCCCTGGACCCCCTGGAGGGATTTCTTCCAGAGGTTACCCCCAGCTCAGGACATCCTTCAGTGGATTTCCCTATCGAAAGGTATATATGCCTTTTCTGTCACTCAGACTGGCTCTCTGGGATGCCTGGAGAAGGATCCCCAGAGCATGAGGAATATTTTGCCTTTGTTGTTCATCTGGCTTATCGCAGCCAGACCTGTGTAGCCTATTATACCTCCTCAGTCATATTTTCAGAGCTCCTCAAATGGAATGAGGTGTGGGGACTCAGATTGATGGCACGTCTGTAGGCTGGAATGGGAATGAATAAACGACTGAGCCTCGTACTTGCTGAGGTATAGCCAGGAGTGTATCTTCCTCAAGCCATCTTTTCCCTCTCTATTAGGATATAAGGGCAGACACTCGATGGAGACAGTTCCTGCCCTGCAAACTGAGGCTCTTCGTGCCCTGTTGGGTCAGTCTGTTGAGCTCCAGTGGGCAATCAGCACCTTTGAGGAGTGAAGGCACCAAAGATATTTCAGATACCAAAGGAAATAGAAGGACCAGGCTCTTGCCCATGGCCATAGCATGGAAGATTCCCACTAGGGAGACCTGACCCTTTCAGGGTCATCCTTGGGCCAGGTGAGCCAAGGACAGTTGGGGTACCCAACTGACAAAGTGGAGGAGAGGAACACTTCCCTCCCAGCCACCTTCTTCTCCCCTTTGCCTCACAGATGAGAGCTACTGCCTTCAAAGTTCCTCAAAACTCCCTGCTGGAATGCTTGCTTAACCACTGGAAATATCTTATCAGGGGACCAAGAGGTCTGGCCTGAAGGGGAAACAGTTAATTACACCATTTTTTGCTAGATTTGTTCTGTAAACAAAGCAAGGTAAGTGGGGGGTGGTCCCATAATACTATTTTTTTTTTTTTTTTTTTAGCTTTAGGAACCATCCTGACTGGATTAAAGAGTACCAAATTGATGGCACCCTTATGGCCAGCCTATGTGGCCTGCCTCCTTCATAGGAGAAGATAATGAAGAGCCTCCAATAAAATTAGGAACTCCTGCTGCTGTCCAGCTCCCAACTGGGTAAAACACCCCCTGGCAGGTTATGACCTACCCTAAGCCTACTGTGCTGCTTGCAAGGAAAATATGCTTCCCCTCAGCCCAGTTCAGTGGAGAAGGGTCTTGATGATCCTTCTCAATCTAGAGCTCAAAGGGGAATTGGGCAGTTACACAGATGACCCTGACACCCATGTAGTTTTGAGCATCTCTGTGCAGTAGTGTATATAATAGGGCATGGAAAGATGAGTGCTGCTTTGGGATGAAACTTTAAATCAGTGAGAAAAGTAGGGTATAAGAGCAAGCAGTCCAAGTGGGAAACAGTTACTACATCCTAAATCATAATGATTTTGGTAATACCTCAGTAGGCCATGAAACTGAAGAAAAGGGCTAGGTGTGGTGGTGCAGGCTTATAATCCCAGCACTCAGAGGCTGAGGCGGGAGAATCATTGTGAGTTCAAGACCAATCTGGGCTGCAAAGTGAGCTCGAGGCCAGCCTGTACTGCTTAGCAAGATCCTGTCTCAAAAAGACCAAAAAAACAAAACAAAACAAAACAAAAAACTGAAGAAAATATCTAGGTATTATACCTTACACAGTGAGAACATTCTGAGTGGGTGGGGTCCCAGATCCAAGTTCCCCAACTGGAAAAGAACTCCCTCAGGGAAGGTCTCTTAATCCTCAAAGCAGCATACTGCTTTTCTCACTTAAGTGGGTCAGAGGTTCTCCTAGGTGTCCTCAATATGCCCCTGTGTAACCACTTGTTTGAGTTTAAGGGATGGATGAGGAAGGCCCCATTGGGAACCCAAAGATGACTCAGAGTCCAATGAATGTCATGAATTTGCCTTGAGATCCTAGTGGGGAAATGAACATTCCAATTTTCTGGATTCCTGGAATGGATCCATACTGGAATTGAATGATAGCTTGAATCAAACTTGGGGGACAGCTCTCTCACTGAATGAGATCTGGTATTAAAACAAATACCATCAAATACCTTACTTCTCACTTTTCTCTTTTTACCCTCATCACCAGAAACGTGGTGTGCCAGGCTCCCCACGGATTGACTGCACACCTCTGTAGGGTGGAATGGAGATGAATAAATGGCCATGCCTAACACTTGTTGAGCTTGAGCTATACCCAGGAGGGCTTTAGTATGAACATGTCCTGTCAGTACCCCTAGCCTCCTTTTCTGTATTTCAGCTGTACTTAGCTGGAAGCTAAAACAGACCATTACTAAAAACAAACCTGCCTCGGATAACAGTATAATGAAAAAAACAAGCATTTAGTTTAGATTTCAAAACTTAGTAAGGTGATTTTCATTAAACTATAAATGGAATTCATAATCCAAAGTCAAGTAAATTTAATAAGAAACAGCACTATATCTGATGTTAGTGGGCTAGCCCAGCTCTAAATTTCAGTCATTCAGGTTTTCATTTTTAAAAAAAACCTTAGAATAGTAGCTCTGTAGTACCAGCACCCACGCTGAGGGTATCAGTCTAACCCACCAGGCAATATGTCACGAGGATGCAAAAGATAAAAGTTCTGCAGTTGAGCCATGGGATGACCCAATGTTCTTTCTAGAACAAAAAGCCTCTTCTCCAAAACCCTATGGCTTTTATTGGTATCAATCGGAGGGGTGTGTAAGTGGAGGCACAGTGCACAGGGAAAAGAAACTTTGTAACCATACCAGGCACAGAGGCCTCCAATTAGCAATGCACAGACAGTTTTCATATATGCATGTCTCCAAGGGCTTTGCTTCTCAGGCATCCTCCACACTTAAGGTAATGGTGTTCAGACCTTCCATACAGGCACAGTTGCCTTGCTATTTAATACAGATTCCCCAGCCCTACACCCAGAAATGTTGAATTCTAAGGTAGCAGGCTGGAATATTCATTCATTTACTGGAGATTGCTAAAGGGCTTACATAAACGTACTGACGGGCCAAAAATGATTAGAACTTCACACAGTTCTCAAGGATACTATATGCCCCATCTATCTTGTCCTTCAATTCTTTTTCACCTGAACTGTTTACTTTTCCTCTAATAATAATAAAAATAAAACATTTTGAAAAGCAGGGTAGTAACTAATACTTTTGGAAACTTGCAGGTCATGTGATTTTTTTCTTTAAAAGGGATACTCAAATATTCTTTTGAACAAGAAAAGTTTACCAAATATTTTTGTGTTTCATTTTGATTCCCCAGTGCCTAAGCAGAGTTGGGAATGCAGTAAATGTTACTTTTACTGACTTGTGAAACTGGTTTTTCACATAATAGCTTAAGACCACCAAACATAGACATCTCATTTTCTGCAGAAATTTTAGGGTCATGCAAGGTTAAGTCTCATAATCTATTCACAGAGGAAACTGATGCCACCTGGTCTGAATACATTTGTTCACCATTCAGCTCCTAGGTTTCCTGTACTAACCATGTAGCTATCCTCTTCTTGTGCTTGCTTTGGATTGAAATAAAACCACCTACTTACCTCCTTTTAAAGTAGCGCCTATTTCCTATACTTCTGAGACAAAAACTTGTTAAACACTTGACTGAGAAAGTTGAAGGTTTTGTGAGAGCTTATGAGTTTTTAATTTGGAAAATTTGAACTAGATGAGGTTTTTCCATCTTGTATGAATGGAAGAGTGGTATAATTATATGGTTGTGGCTAGAAACTTAATCTAGAATATGATAGGGATCAGTATCACAAGGGTAAAGATGGTTTGTTTTGGGCCAGTCTCTACTTTTTTGAGACAGGGTTTGCTATACCGTTAAAGCTGCCTTGAACTCACTTTGTACCTCAGGCTGGCCTCCAACTCAAAGTGACCCTCTTGCCTCAGCCTCCCAAGTGCTGACATTACAAATGGCCCAGTGGCCACTAATCTCAGTTGTAGAGCACTTCATTAGGAGACAAATCTAGGAGTTTGCTATTTGATTTTGCGGGTTGAGTTTGTGGTGTTTTTTTGTTGTTGTTGTTTTTGAGCTTGCTTTTTATTTTGAGACAGGGTTTCGCTATGCAGTTCAGGCTGGCCTCAAATGTGAAGCGATCCTCCCACCTCAGCCTTCCAAGTGCTGGGATTACAGGTGTGTGCCACCATGCCCATCAGCAATTCTTGATTTTTGTTTACTAGTTTGTATTAGAAGACATAACTTCTTTAGAAGATTTTTTTTTTTATTTGTAATGAAGGAAGAAACTGGATTATGAAATTTACTAGTGAGCATGCAGTCCATATCTAGATTTATCTGGGCCAGGATTGAAGCTGATGAATTATTCCTACTTTGTTACACAATGTGTCGTCTTAGTGACTGCAGAGACTATTTCTGGCCCACCATGATTATGTTTAATAATCCTTTTCAGCTTTTTTCCCTAATTGCATAGTCACCATTGACCTTTAAAGTTTAAATTTGCCTTTTCTGTTGACAACAGGAATACATTTTCAGATTATGTTTCTAGAACTGGCTATATTATCACTTAACTAATCCTACTTCTACTGTATGGATTGTGGTCAATTCAGTCAGCAGTCTTTGTAGTCTTTTCTTGTTAGACCTTTAGTCCTTCACTAGAATTTTACTTACTATAGCAAATAAATGCAGGGCAATGTGTTCTCGTGCAGTATAGGGAATAGCTAATGTGAACATAGGTAAGTCAGAACAGATTAACCTATCTTTGAATGCCTTTTGTGTAGTATGCTAAATTCTTCACCAGTATATTTTGTGTGGTCTTTACATAAAACATGAACATTGCCGGGCATGGTGGTGCATGCCTGTAATGCCAGCACTCAGGAGACTGAAGCAGGAGAGGAGCGTTGCGAGTTTGAGGCCAGTCTGGGCTACAAAGTGAACTCAAGGCCAGTCTGAACTGCACAGCGAGACCTTGTCTCAAAAAAAAAAAAAAAAAAAAAAGACACACACAAAAAACCATGAAATTATTTTTACCTCTAGTGTGGGGTTTGAATATAGCGCTTCTCAGATGTTAGGCAAGTGCAATATACTGAGCTCCAGCTATATCTCTAGCCCTTGAGGGACACATACAGGAAATTTAATCTGGCAATGGAATACAGGGTGATTGGTTGGGATAGCAAAATTTGTATGTAGAGACCATTTAATGAGCGCCACCCCCCGCCCCACAGGGTCTTCACATGGAGTTATATTCCCAGCCCTTTTTGAGATAGCCCCACTGAGTTGCTCTGTGCCACTGAGCCATATTAAAGAAATGTGGTACAGGTAATGGTCGTCATAATAGAAAATTAAAATATTTTAAACATACCAAATAGCAGTCTGAGAAAAGAGCCATATGTCAAATCCATGCCCTCACCCCTAGTGTATTTGGTTCCCCTTGAATGCTGTCATAGCTCTTCTCATAATTGATATTAATGGTGTAATTTATTCTTAAACTTTAGGTTACTCCTTGAGGGCAGCACAGTGCTTGTTTATGGCTGTATCCCTGATGCCTCAGCACAGTGAGGTCTGTAGTCAAAACTGCTGGGGTTTTTTAAAGGGGGATCATGTCTTGCTATGTAGTTTGGGCTGTCCTTGAACTCTCCATGATCCTTCTGCCTCTGCCTCCTGAGTGCTGTGATGACAGGAGTATGCCAGCATGCCCACTTGGTATTTGCATAATACTAAGGTAACATGACTTTTTAAGTTCATTCTCAAATGTATGCAGAGGATATATAATGTGTGATAACACTGGCACTGATGTTAATGAATGATGCTACATAGTCTCGAATTTTCTAAGGTGGCAGGTAGCTTTAGGTATGAATGTGTTCTTAGAAATTAACTCACCTTTTAGATAGTCTTTGCTACCTGGATGTCATGCAGTTATTCTAAATATCTTGCAGTTTTCCTTGTGCTTAAGCATAAATGAAAGTAGTACATTTTATTGTCTTATATAATAATGTGTTAATATTTTTCTCAAATTTCCAGACATTAAAAGTACAACACTGTAGAGTTTTAAAACTTTATTTTAAAATAAATGTAAGAAAAAAAAAATAAATAAATAAATGTAAGAATAGTTTATTGGCTTGAAAAACAAAAGCTATTTTTTGTTTAAGCCACAGCTTACATCATCTTTAAGAATGCTTTACATGATTGACCTGGAAGAACTGAACAAAGATAACTAACAAGTTTTGTTTGGATTTAGAGATACTTCAGAATAGCATGCCTTATGCAATAGAGTATTTTGAATAGTGTCAGTGCCACCTATGTTGTGAAATCATTTTGAAACCAATCATTTTTTTTTAAAAAAAAGATACTGAATATTTTAAATGCAGATGTGTTATGCTCCTTAAAGAAAGAAAAAAAGAGGTTTCAAACTAGAAATGAAAAACTACATATTTTAAAGGGTAAATCACTGCATTGTATTGGTGGGAGAAAGGCAGATGATAGCTGAGAAACTAAAAAGCCATACAGATCATATTGCTGAAATGTATGTCAGACAAAAGCAAGAAAGAGTTCCTCTTTGAATATTAGAGCAACTCATCAAGTTGAAGATTTGTGTACAGGCATGAAATCCAGTGTATTACACCTTACAAATCGATAAATATACAAAAAAACATGGCTGTACCCATTACTATACTGTTGCTTGTATTTGCTGGGCATCAACTAATCAAAGATACTCTATGTAAATGCTTGACAATAAACACATGTCCTGAAATTGCCAAAATGTGGAATGACTTTTTAATCTTACGATGCACCCTGAACAATTATATGTTGACATTTGTACTGATGGTGAAAAAGCAATAGTGGGTAAAAATGTAGGCACCTTATACAAATTAAAGAAGCAGCACAAACTATCATTTTTCATTGCCACACATTTGTAGTATAAACTGCAAGAAAAGGCCAGTTTCATGTAAGAATGGTCTTCTGAAAACATGAAAATTATTTTGTTAAATGTGGATCCCTGAGTACTTGCTTTTTAATGTGATGAGAAGTTTGTATATAGTACTTAGGGTAATGGCTAAGATACAAATAATAGAGTTGCTAACAGAATTAACTTTTCTCAGAGCACCACTTTTATGATACATTTGCCGGGTATGGTACATACCTGCATTTAGGGGGCTAAGGCAGGAGGATGGCCACAAATTGGAGGTTTGCCTGAGCTACACAGTGAAACCACCTCAACCAAAACAAAAAAAAAAGTTGGCCTAGCATAATGCGCACACATGGTAAACATTCAGATGCCTGGATAATAGGATAATAATGGGCATGCTGGGACTGGAAGATTTTTGTGGAGAAAATCACATATTTTAGGTACATTAGAACTGAAGACTTGAGAAAAACTAAAATATCATTAACTTTTCTAGTAAGAATTCCTTTAGCATAAATCTATCACTGAGCAGCTTATAACTTCACTGATTAGCAAACATGTTAGCATGGTGACATGGTAAGCCTGTTACAAAGAATGATAGTTTTTCAAACTACACACCATGCAGACTGGTGTTTGTTCGGAATTTAAAAAGTACTAAAGTCTAGTAATTACACTGGCTAGAATTTTCACACTTTGACCATTCTACCACTTACCTTCACATAAAACATCTTGGAAAAGGCTACCCTGAGGATGGATATTTCCATTCTTTGCCTATTAAGCACTCACAGGATTTACTGTACATTAGGTACTTCACAGACATTTCACAATATTTTTATTAGTCTTCAGACTGTGTTTTGGTCCTTGCAGTGGACACCTGAGCCATTAGCAAGTTGGGGCCTACAGTTCTGGCAAAGTTTTCTGAAAGCCTATTACCATTTTAAAAGAATGTAATGAATCCTTCCCTTTTTAACTATTCTAGTGCAGTGTTATCCAGAGCTAACTCTTCTCGTTAGATTTGTAAAATTTTTCCTAGGTAACTCCTCTCATTAGACTTGTAAAATTTTTCCTAGTTTTCAGCATCTTTGCCCTCCAAAATACTGACTCATTCCCAGTAACAGATTCTCTTCCCTGTCTTTTCACATTCCTGTGACCCAGGCCACTTCATGGTTAATCAGTAACTCAACTGCAGGTCTTTTGAATCTTTCTCATACCCATTTCCTACTCTATTCACTGTCAGCACAAGATACTGGGAAGGAGATGCCTACTACCTATATGAAGCATCTTGAATCAGTCTGTGATGTTTTTATTGCAGTATTTAATAGAATTAAAGCTGTGATGACTGAAGCACAAAACTGATGTACTTCTGTACCAAAATCCATGTTAATATGTAGAAGCATTAGTTCACTTGTTTTGCAAATACTGAATGCCTACTGTGTGGTAAGTACAATGCCAGCGCAGTTGGTAGCCATGGTCCTTGTACTTTTGATTTTATAGACTGCTCACCAGCCCTTATTTAGTCTGAGGTTTAAATGGTTTCATGTGTCACAGGTGAAAAGTTGTTTTTGTACAACTCATAAATAATGCAGCTGTGAATGCTGATAAAAGTAAAAACATCCAACTTTAAAAATTAAAGTGAAAACACCAGTCTAGGTTATTAAAGTTTTATAAATGTCTTATATTCAGTTCATTCTTAAGTGTGGGGGGTAAATCTGAATGAAACCAGATTAGGATTGCTGATTATGCTGCCAATGTGTACTCTTTTTTTTTTTTGGTACCAGGAATTGAACTCAAAACCTTGCACTTGCCAGGTGGGCACTGTGCTGCTGAGCTATATCCCCAGCAATGTGAACTCTTAGAAGTACTGTTTCCTTTTATTCTGATGGAGACAAAAAGTGTGACTGGCGTACTATTATTAGCATGACACAGAAAACCTAAACAGTGCAGCCAAGAATCAACTCAATACTACAATGAATTCCACATAAAACCTCCACAACTTTCCCAGGGAAGCACCATTTTACAAAGACTAAATATTGAGGTTATTTCATTATATGAAGAAGGACTTGATACCACTGAAAAAGCAACTAAATGTGAACAATGAGCAGGCAGAAGTAACAAACTTACATGACTCCCAAATTAAGTTGCTTTTGTTTTGTTTTTGGTCTTTTTGAGACAGGGTTTCACTATGCAGTTGAGGCTGGCCTTGAACTCACTTTGTAGCCCAGGCTGGCCTCAAACTCATGGTGATCTTACTGACTCGGCCTCCCAAGTGTTGGGATTATAGGCATGTACCACCATACCTGGCCCAAATTAAGTTTTCATTCAAAGATTATCAGTGTTTTTCTCATCTTTTGCCAACAAAAAAAAGTTCTGACAGGTTCATGCTTGTATTTCAAAACACATGCCTTTATATACTGGAAGAAAAGTCTACTTGGCTTATTGGTTGCATACCTCATCTACCAATGTTTCTGCTATTCTTTACAAACAGAAATGTCCTGTATTAGTAACAGTATTTATAATCTCTTTCAAAAATCTTAGTCCTGTTTTAAATCTGTGTTAATCTGAATAAGAGATGCAAATTTTAATTTTTAAGGCAGATGTTAAGTTTTTCTGTAGACCTTGTAAAACTTCATCTTGTCATGGGGCAAAAACATCACAAAATAGTGCCTTATTTTTTGAGGGTGAGATAAAGAGAACTTCAGTTATAAAGAGCAAAGCTGCATAGGCAATGTGAAGTGGCCTAAGATCTTAGGACTATGTTCTCCGCTTTTTACATAGGTCAAGGTGCCTTTCCACTTGACACAACAGAAAACGCAATATAAAGCCTGGAAATAAAATGTTCTAAAACTACACCTCAGAGCATTTTAGTGAGCTTTATCACCAGTAAAGCATTTTAAAGAAATTATTCACATGGAGGATTAGGCAAGAGGACCACAAGTTGAAGTGTAGCCTCAGCAATTTAAGACACAGCATCAAAAATAAAAACAGAATAGAAAGGGCTGGGGGTGTACTCCAATGTGAAGGCCTTGGTTTTAATCCCCAGTACTGTAGAATAAAGGGATGGGGAAGATGGTTCAGTACCAAGGTCCTTCATTCAATCCCTAGTGGGTGGGTGGGTGGCAGATAAGCTAACTGCCAGCCACACCCTCAAAAGAATTCTACTGAAAGCCTCTGCTTTCTCAAACCTTTAAATTACATCACATTATAGTCATATCTTTTGCTACCCAAGGTGAAGAGCTTTGGGCCAGTTCAAATACTGCAGACTGCATTTCTGTTAATATTCTCTCAAAGCAAGATCTTCATGCTGACATTTCCAGTGTTGGGAAGTACAAAAACTACTAACCATCATTGTTTGTATTACCAAGGTGTCCCTCTTTGTCCATCTTGCTCTGAACAGTGAACAAAAGCTTGAGGTGTTCGTTTCAGAAGATAAACTGCAGCATGAAGACCCCCGATATTCACCCAGACTGTATGTACCTTTCGCCATACATGTCCCATTCCAGATAATGCCTGTGTACACACAAAAAAAGCAAAGAAACAGGCTGACAATCTGCTTATAAACAATCCGGGGATCTTAGCTTCCGGTTAGGAAATATGGGGAAAAGAAAACACCACCTACTAAAATGAGTACCTCCAAGTCTAAATAAAAAGATCCTGAAATTGCTACAGACAGATTTTGAGCTAATGTTCAGCACCTTAGCAAAGCACTTCTTGTCCTGGGTAAGAAGTACAGCTCGGCCTGTCCCAGGTCTACAGACACGGCTCATCTCCCGCAGGCAAGCTGGATAAAGATTCCAGTTTCTCTTTTTGGAGCCCATCCTATAAAACAAAGTCTGATAAGTCAACTACTGACTGTTGCAAAAGATAAATATCTAAGATTATATTAAATGAGAACAAACATTCATGCATCCCAAGGCACAAAAAAAAGCCAGAGCTTGGCCATTATATGAACAGAATAAGCTATGAGAATAAACTTCAGAATTTTGTCAAAATCAATTTTTTGACAACTATAGCTTGTATTAATGAGTATAATCAACCAATGCTTAGAAAACAATTTATCCTGAGAATCAGAATCAAGTCTTCCTCAGTGTTTTTATTTGTGCTATGATTACATAATTGAACTAGGAAGTGAATTACAGTTAATCACAAAAAGAACCTTCCTCCTGTAATGGTTGTAATCAAAATATAGTTAAAATATTCCTCAATTCTCAGAAGAAACAAAATGAATGAGTCTACCATGACTGTTAACAACTGTTCAGAAAAAGCCAAGCATGGTGGTAGCACCAAGAGGCTGAGACAACTTGAGACCAATCTGGGTTATGAAGTGAGTTCAAGGTCAGCATGAACTACACAGCAAGACACAAAACAGCAAACACTGTTCAGTAAAAAAAACAACAGTTCAACTGGGCATGGTAGTGCATGCCTGTAATCCCAGCACTTGGGATGCTGAGGCAGGAGCATTGCCCTGAGTTTGGTGCTAGCCTGGGCTACAGAGCAAGAACCTGTCTCAAAAAAAAACTCCAAACAAACCACAACCACAACAGTTCCACGAAGTCTGTTAAAAGGAACAAGATCTTTTTCTATGTACTGTTTTTTTTTAAACATACAAATAATATTTAGAAGGTAAGTACCAGAACAACAGGTTAAGGAAAACTTATTTAAAAAAAAAAAAAAAATGCATACCTTTTTCCAAATGGCATATCTGTTACAATGATATCCACAGAGCCAGTTCTCAGTGGAAGATTGCAGCTATCCCACTGAACAGCATCAATGGGCAAGCCCCAGCAGGATTTGCTGCAGGGACAAGGAAAAGGTGCTTGACATATTCTGAAATATGAAGTTTTTAAAAAAATTTTTCTCCAAAGGGACTGGTACAGCGAAGTACAATGCTATGAATCATAGTAAGAACATCACCAACTGATCAGAATCTTAAAAGTGACATGTAGGAAGGAACTTTATATTCATGAGATAAAACTAGTACAACGACTGAAATGGAAAAGCTACATATAAATTTAAAGAATGCGTTAGATTGATTTTCAAAAGATGTTCACATGCAGCGTGGCAGTGCACACTTGTATTCCCAGCACTTGGGAGGCTGAGGCAGGAGGATTGCTACAAGTTCGAAGCCAGCATAGTTGAGAAACTATCTAAAAAAAGATGTTGACATCTGTATCATACAGTTTAGGAAAACAAATTGAGAAAAATCATGCCTGTAACAACTGCAAGAGAACTTTCCAGTGTTTCAATGGAAAAAATCAGTGAAGGTAAGGGCACAAACAGTATTATAGACATAAAATAGGATCATGAGTACCAAGTATGAAAAACATGAATATTTAAAGTAAACATTAAAAAAAAAAAGCAACTGATTTACAAACGTAAGCCTCACAGTATTAAAGAGATGGTTGTTTCTGGATCCGCTAAGGCCAACTGTGGATCAAATGACTTCCTGTGCTGTGTATTCAGTATGTGGTGCATCTGTACAACTCAACAAATCTGTTGACCACTACCAGGATGTTGAGCCTGACATATGCCTATAATCCCAGCACTCAGGAGACTGAGGCAGGAGAATCACCGAGTTCAAGGCCAGTCTGTTCCCAACCCCCCCGCCCCCGTACCGGAAATCGAACTCATAACCTGGTGCTTGCCAGGCAGGTGCTGTGCCACTGAGCTAAATCCCCAGCCCTCAAGGCCAGTCTGAACTACACAATGAGACTCTGTATCAAAAAAAAAGAAAAGAAAAAAACCAGAAAAGAATAAAGGACTACTCAGGAAACCGGAGATGTGGGCTTATGATGGAGCTTCTGATAAGAAATGTACACTAAGCCACAATACTTAGTGTACGGTTGTCCCCAAAGACTCGCAGAGAGAGGCTAACACAAGTGTCCTCAAATAGAATTTGTAGTGGGCTAGCACTTGAGACACTACAATATGTAAGTCAAAAGGATGGACAACACATATACCCAGGCACTGATGGATTTCCAAAATGTAGTATCAAAGGCCTATGGTATAGAAAGACAGCCCTTTTCAGGAACCAACCAGGCTTGTACCTTAATGCTGGGTTTCATAGCTTTATGAGAAATAATTTAACTCCATGGGAGAGGATGATTTAAGACCCTTTGCATATTTTGCCTGGAAAAGGGAAGACTGATATTTGTGTACTTTATTGGGGGGAGGGTAGCCTTAAAATAGCTCCTGTTTTTTTTTTTCTTTTTGAGACAGGGTCTCACTCTGTAATTTAGGCTGACCTTGAACTTACTATGTAGTCCAGCTAACTTCTAACTCATGGTAATGTTCCTGCTTTAGCCTCCTGAGTACTGGGATGTACTGTGCCACCATGCCTGGCCAAATAGCTAATTTTGATCATCATGTGAAACAAAGATTTCTTTTCTTTATGAAGTGGGAGAATAAAAATAAATCTGTGAAAGGTACAAGGAGAGTTTTTATTTCTGAAAGAAAGGGTTAGCCAGGCATAGTGGCACACAACAGCAATCCCAGCATTTTGGGAGGGCATGTCCTGCCTGGGCAATTTATTAAGACCTTGTCTCAAAGTAAACAATAAAAACACCCAGAGATGCTGGCTGTGGTGGTGCATGCCTGAAATCCCAGCACACAGGAGGCTGAGGCAGGAGGACGACTGTGAGTTTGAGCCCAGCCTGGGCTACAGAGTGAGTTCGAGGCCATCCTGAATTATATAGTGAGATCTTGTTTCAAAAAGAAAATTTCTAAAACAAAACACCTGGGGATGGAACTCAGTAGAAAAGTTGTGGGTTTGATCCCCGGTACCACCAAAAAAAAAGGCACTCTACTAATGCAACACAAAATAGCCTACAGAAGTAGAGCAAATAGAGATACACTCTTATACGACATTCAGCAATCATGGGAATAGATTTCAGGTCTCTTTCAACTCAGATTCTTTTAAGTGTGAAATAATGGAAACAGACTAAACAAATTGAAGCATTTCTATATATATATAATGGAATATTATGCAGTTATAAGAAATACTGTAAAAACACAGAAAGGGCTTAAAAATTTATAAAATCAGAATAAACCTACCCCAGTATTAATCAATCTAATCAATAAAATTGATTTATACAATAGTCCTTCACAATTTTGAGGAAAAGATATGAATAAGGAAAGAAAGAGAAAGAGCCAAGTGTGGTGGTATATGCCTGTTGGTAGGGCTGAGGCATAAGGATCACAAACCTAGGCAATTTGGTGACTTAGTGAAACCTTATCTCAAAATGAAAAATTAAAAAAAGACTGGGGCAGGAGATGGGGGAGAAGGGGATAGGGATGTAGCTCAGTGTACTGGGTTCAATCCTCAATACCGCAAAAATGGAAAGGAAAAATGAAAGCAGAAAAAGTCACCATAGCATGAGGAAATTTAAGTATTTTAAAAATATAAATTATTTTCGATAAATTGAAAAAAATGTTTTTTGTCTTATTTTTTTTTGACAGGGTCTTGCTATGCAGTTCAGGCTGGCCTTGAGCTCACTTTGTAGCCCAGGCTGGTCTCAAACTTGCAACAATCCTCCTGCCTCAGCCTCCTGAGTGCTGGGATTACAGGCGTGCGCCACAATGCCTGGCTAATAAATTTAAAATTTAAAGAAGTCTCACACTACCTTCCTCTTGGCTATAATGTCACAATACACTGAGGTTATTAACATAGAATCAATATGAAAAGTGATTCCCTAAGTCTAAAATAAGATATAAAAGATTTTAAATTTTACCCTTCTTTAACTTGGCTCTTAGTCAATAAAGATGAGATGTTATTAGCTGCTCTTTTTACAGCCAGTGGACTATTATCACCAGCAATATGGTAACAGTTAGACCATTCAGTAGCCCCCTAAAAGACAAGAGAATATATTAGAAACACAAATAACAAGCTACAGAAAATTGAGAAAGTTATTTCAGTCAGTTGTAAGATAATCAATCCAGTGCTCTGTTCGAAAGTGACAAAACAATATAGTGTTGTCAACTTTGCAACTGCCTTTGTTGGAAATGCCTTCTCTGCCTGCTGGACTCCTGCCCATCTTTCAAAACCCAGCTTGACTGTCAACTTATGGGGGTTAAGAGATTCCTAGAGAGGTGTTGGACTGTGAGGGCATAGTTAAATGGGCTACTCAAAGATGGGGCCTAAATTACTTTAAGGATCACAGTAAGTAATACAACCACTGATGATTTCCTATCATCTTGTTTTGAAATTCTGTAACATTTTTATAGTTTTTGTGTTGTTTTGTTATTTTGTTTTTGTTCTTTTCTCTTTAAAATAATAATAATAATAAAAAAGGTGGGCCTAGCTGATGTGTATCAAGGGGGTGTGACTGTGGGACTATATCTGACCTTCCTATCTGGTATCTTCCCAAACTCTCTGCTTCCTGGCTGCCATAAAGCAAGCAGCTTTGCTAACCATGCATTTCCACCATGATGTTCTACTTCACCTCAGACCCACAGCAATGGAACCAGCCAACCATGGACTGAAACCTCTGCAATCATAAGCTAAATAAATCTTTAAGTTGTGGGTGTTGGGTATTTTGTTCCAGTATCTGAAAGGTGATTAATACACAGCTTGAACATCTATACCCTCCGTAACATCAACTTCAACTCTTCAAGCTGTCTTTCATCTGCCTCTTAAAAGTACTCTATACATACTTCTGCCACTGTACTTGTTCCAATTTTAATTATGTTCATACATGCTTGCCTCCCAACTAACCTAGGAACTCCTGCTGAACAACTCTGGTATTTTATTCAATCCCACACTTAACAGTGTCTAACATACAGAAGGTGTAACAGTCTCTGACTAAACATAGTTTAAAAAATTAACCAGCCAGACATGGTAGCTCATGCCTGTAATTCCAATATTCAGAAGGCTGTGGCAGGAGGATCGCCACTAGTTCAAGCCAGCCTGGGCTACACAGTGAGTCCAGGCCAGCCTAAATTACATAGCAAGACCCTGTCTAAAACAAAGCAAAACAAAAAACAAAACCAAGTAAAACTGACATAACTATACCTTTTTGGATTGTGAATTTATATAATCAGATCTGTTGGAATACCTGACCATCTCAAAATGAGAAGTCATTTCCTTTGTATGCCAGACTTCTGAATGATAAACTGCCATATCCCTGAAAGGATTTTGTAGTTTTATATCAAAATCTTGTAAGGAACAGAACATAAATACAAGGCTGTCACATTTCACTTATGAAATGAGGTGACATAGTACCATCGGCCTGAACAATGTTTTGTGCAAGTTAACCAAAAGTTTCTGACACGAAAGCAAAGAAAGGTTCTACTCTGCTTAGGGATGAGTAATGAACACCACCTTCAATACACCTCCCATCAATGAATACAACACTTCCTAACTTTTTACTTTGCCCAGACGAGAGGGTGATGACATATGCAGTCTATAATCCTGCAGGAACTATATAAAAGGGACATCAAAATTTGGCTGAGCAGAAATGGAGAAGGAAACCACATGTTTGACGTAAGTCTCTTCACAGGATTCTGACTTCCCAACATTCTTTTTAACACCTATTTAGATTTTCTGCCTCAAAAGGACATGGATTTATAGCATCTCCAAGTTTTAAAAGAAATAAATCTACATATATGTCCTGTTAATTTCTTTCACAATTTTATTCATTTTGACCATATAGCAGTTTAGGTTTTCTTATATTGGCGCCCTCAGGTCTCCTTTTGGTTTGGTTTTTTTTTTTTTTTTTTGGCTTTTTGACACAGGGTTTCACTATGCAGTCCAGGTTGGCCTCGAACTTGCAGAGATCCTCCTGCCTCAACCACCTGAGTGCTGGGGTTACAAGTGTGTGCCACCATGCCCAGCTGTCTGCTTTTACATAGAAACAGCTCAAACTTTTTTTGTAAAAGGTATCTTTGGACTGGGTTTGGCAGTGCATGCCTGTAATCCCAGCACTCAGAAAGCTGACGCAGGAGGATCCTGCAAGTTCGAGGCCAGCCTGAACTACATAGCAAGACCCTGTCTCAAAAATAAAAAAAAAAAATAAAACAAAACAAGCCAAAATTATTGCCAGGCATGGTGGCACCTACCTGTAATCCCAGCACTCAGGAGGCTGAGGCAGGAGGACCATCATGAGTTCAAGGCCAACCTGAGTTACAAGGTGAGTTCAAGGCCAGCCTGAACTACATAGCAAGACCCTGTCTCAAAAAAAAAAAAAACAAAAAAAAACGGAATCTTTTTTATTCTGTTCTTTAGCTCTGTTGTTTATTTCTTGACATCCAGTGGCCTTATCTGATGTTTGACAGACATATCACAGTTTGGTGTTAGAGAAGAGCACTGCTTTATCCCACAGTTGTCTTTAACTACAACTGGGTTTTCTCTGTTTGGGTATCTGTAGGTAAAGTGACTTCTGTCACTAGCAGAATGTAACAGTCATGTAAACTATAGTTTCCTTCTTGGATTTTGAACTTCCAGATCGCAGATGTCATTTTCTAATTACAGTCTGGATTTTTTTTCTTCCTGGGTTGCTATGGACTTGCTCATTTGTCCAGTTTCTGCCTACATACAGAATCTGTGGGATCTCCCTACAGCTTTTTCCCACTAGCTTTTTGTATACCATATTGAAGAACCTGTTATGTTTCATCTAAATTTAAGTGATTTTACTGAGTTCTTTCTTCTAAGTAATTTCTATATGCACACATACTAATTCACTAAAATTCTATTACTAAATATTCTCTACTTAGAAAATATCCTTCCATTTCTTGCTTTGCTTTATGCAGGTTTTATGAGTCCTTTCAATATCATAGTAATTTTGAACACTACTGAACAGCACTTGGTATACAGCCTTATCAACTTTTTAAAAAATCTAAATAACACTTACGTTTTCCTTTTTTTATAGTGTTGGGATTGTTCAGGGCCTTGCACAAGGTAGTCAAGTGCTCTATCACTGACTATACCTTCAGTGATTCTTCCCTTTTAAATATATTCCCTCCCCCTAGGAACCTAAACACATTAAAAACTTTCTCATGGCTGGGGATTTAGCTCAGTGGCACAATGCCTGCCTGGCAAGCGCAAGGTCATGTGTTCAATTCCTGGTACTGGAAAAAAAGTTTAAAAAAAAAAAGATTAAAAAAAAAAAAACAAAACTTTCTCATTATACAAAGATAAAAAGCCACCTTCCTTCAGTTTATGCTTCTGCCTTCAATTAGCCTTTCCTGTTCAGTTTAATGGTTTACCTAATACAGAAAACAGACTTACCAGTTTATAATCTTCATCCTCACTTTTTTTTTTTTGGTCTTTTTGAGACAGGGTCTCGATATGCAGTTCTGGAATGGCCTTGACCTCACTTTGTAGTCCAGGCTGGTCTCAAACTTGCAGTGATCCTCCTGCCTCAGCTTCCTGTGTGCTGGGATTACAGGCATGTGCCACCACATCTGGTTCACCTTCCTCTTAATCAGATGAGTAATCACTATCTAGTCCTATCACACTTGGCCATTTGAAATACATGATTATATTCTTTGCACCAAAGTAGTAACTTTACTATTGTAATTCTTTTAAAACTCTTGGGTCCGCTGACTTAATCTTGATGGTTTCCTTATGTCTAATTTGTCCATTAGGTCTAGATCAGTGTGACTCTAGCTACAAGCTTATTTAAAAACTAATATAAGCTGGATGTGGTAGCATGAGCATGTAATCCCAGCACTTGATTACAGGATTGCCTGAGTTCAAGGCTAGCTTGGGCTACATAGTGAGTTCAATGCCAGCCTGAACTACATAGCCAGGCTCTGTCTCAAAAACACAAAACAGAAACTAATGGAAAGGTATTACCTCTATTGGTATTGCCCCTGTTCCACACATTGGGTCAACTATTATATCAGTAGGTTGAGGTGCACAGAGCCTGGAGAAAAAAACCCAAAAAACAGTCAATATATATGTCATCCAAAAGCTAAGGCTTCCATAATGATGATTCCTAAAGCTATAAGTTCAAGGATTTATCAAACTAGCATGAAAGAACACCTGTCTACAGTCATCTTAAAAATAAATCTGTAATTACATGTTGGCTCTACGACTTAGCACTTGGAAAGAAAAATTTTTATTACATATATATATATACACACACACACACACACACACATAACCTGAAATCTCATTTTACTTCCAGACCTTTGACAATATGCATGTGTGTACACATGCTAGCATACATGCACATACACACACATTTTTAAAAAGTGTTGATTTATATATAAACCTGTATGATAACATTAAAAAACTCAAACAGGGCCAAGGCTATAGCTCAGTGGCACAAGTGCCTGCCTGGCAAATGCAAAGTCCTGAGTTCATTTTCTAGTACCAAAAATAAAAAATTTTTAAAACATAATAAAAAATAAAAATTAAAATAAAAAAACTCAAACATGTCTCAGGTAAAATATGTACCAAAATAAGTTCATTGGCAATTAGACATTCAATACTCCTTTTCTTTTCTTTTTTTTTTTTTTGTGAGACAGGATTTTGGCTTTGTGTTACCAGCTGGTCTTAAACTCACTACATAGGTCAGGCACTCATGTCATATTCCTGCCTCCACCTCCCCAGTCCTGGGATTACAGGTGTGTCCCAACAAACATGGCTTATTTAATTTTTAAAGATAAACTCAATATAAAATAATTCTTTACTAGGCTGGGTATGGTGGCACACACATGTAATCCTACCACTCAGGAGACTGAGGCAGGGTGTATCACTGTTCGTTCAAGGCCAGTCTGGGCTACAAAGTGAATGCAAGGCTAATATGAACTACATAGTGAGACCATCTCAAAAAGAAAAAAAAAATCTTTACTTTGAGCATTTAATATTTTACATACATGAATTTAAGCTCCTTCCATGCATCCTTCATTAAATACTCTTTAATGATCTTCTTAAGTTTCTACTATTATTATTTTATAGGTAAAGTGAAATATTATCTGTCCAGGGACCAAAACTCTAGTAAGGAACAAAGTTGGGATTATAACTGATGGCTTATGTGTCACTTCTTCAATGAAGCATCCCATCCTGAGGGTACTAGTTTTCTCTTTCCTTCTCTTGTCCTAATCTCTTCATACTCCATTAAAGTACTTAGCACATACATGGTAATTATCTCCCTCACAAGACAGATTCTTGGGTGTAGCTCAACTTCCTTGTTCCTGCCCCTCAACACACAACAGACTACTTGGCAACTGCCTTGTGGTAGTAAGCAACCCTGTATTCCTAGCCATGGCTGATAGGGCAGCAAGGTGGACATGTGATGGAAACTACGGCACACAAATCCTCTCTTTAGGGAATTTGGAATAAAGAGATAAAAGTCCTATGAAGTACAAGCTGACTGTTCAAAACTAGAAACATATAAATTTAGTTGAGGACAGCCATGTACACAGATGAACAAAGATGCCCACAGGCTCTCAGAAAAGAGTCACTGCCTAGCTTTCTGGTGATTTTCCAAGACCTGGTTTCTGGTCTTCTTGAAACACGGGGGATTCTGCAAGACTGCTTACTGCCCAACCTAAGCATAATCATGACTTTTTTATCCTAAACTAGTTAGGTTACTAATATTTGTACCCAAAATAAATCTCTCTGTATCCCTGGCTCCTGTAATAACTCCTGATGGTAGATAGTAAATGTCTGAATGAAGACTTGAAGCTCTTAAGGAGCCCAGTTTTTTTATTACTTGGTTTGAATATGGTCCAACTGTCTTGAACTATGACTCCACAGATGAGCAGGATAAAAGATAAACCAAAGATTGGAAAGAAAGAAAATAAAATCATTTAACTACCACAACAGGCCAGGCACTGCATATAAGTTATTTTGTACTTATTTATGCATTTAATTCTTACTAATAATCCTTTAAGTCCCACACCAAACCCCATTTTGCAGTGTCAGAATCAGAAGCCTGAGAAGATACACTTGCCCAGGAGGCAGAAAGAAACCCTCTATAAAAGAGGGAAAGGCAGAGGAGATGGAAAGCTAGGTCTTATACTCTGAAAAGTAGAACATTTCCACAATGATTCCTAGGCTGCTGTAACATTTAAAAATATGAATAAAAGTTTTCTATGCTAATTTACATATTATACTCACTTTGAAAACATCTGCTTTCACCTGCTTCACTTCACAAAAATGAAGCACAGCAAAATCTGTTCTCTCCCAATATATAGTCTATCTATCTTTCCTAAACAGAAATGTGACTACTCCATTCAAGAAGTCTATGAAACTATCATTCTCATTTTAAAATCAAGAAAACAGGGGCTGGGGATTTAGCTCAGCGGCCAAGTGCCTGCCTGGTAAGTGCAAGGTCGTGAGTTCGGTTCCTGGTACCGGAGAAAAACCAAATAAATAAATAAATAAATAAATAAATAAAATCAAGAAAACAGAAAAACTGGTTACGTATTTTCAGAACCACAAGGAATCATTCAATATAGGAAAAAGAATCCTATTACTTTTTAAAAGTCTTAGTTTTTTAAAAATTAAGTTTATTGGTACAATTTTAATATACATATTGATCACAATCACCATAGGAAAAATCCTACTTTTTATCCACTCAATTCCAACAGAATATCATACCAAAGAGAGGAAAAAAAAATTAGTGTTTGGAAGAGAAAATCCAAAGCAAGGTGCTACTTTAATCTGGAGCAAAATACCCATTCTTTCACCTGAGCATCCCATAAGCAAGAGTTGATCTAAGAGTTGTAGGTCCAAAATGTGTAATATTTCTACGGTGAAGACTCTCCTCAGTCAGTGCAATGCCCACAACCATTTCATTATCATGGATATTCAAGAGAACCTATGATAAAGTTAAACAAGACAGAAGAAAATAGCTTCAGGATTGTTCACACTGCATTTATTACTAAGATTTTTAATTTGAGGCTTTACAAATAAGCTTTTCTGGCTGAGGTATACTTTGCACATAGGCACACAAATCTTAACTGTATGAGTTCTTACTTAAACTAAAACTATGTAACCACTACCCAAACAATGATATACATAGAGTATTTCCAGCATCCTGAGGCTCCCTTGTCTCTTTCCTGCTCAGTATTCACTAAAGGTTAATCACTAATTTGACTGCTACCACTATAAACTAGTCATGTCATTTTCTTAAACTTCATATAAATAAAATGATATACAATTTTGTTTAAAGTGTGTTATTTTTTTATCAACTATACAGTATTCTGGCTAACAACCTGATTTTCCTCCAGATTTTATAACATAAGCATATTTGAAGGTTTATGGTTTTTTAGAAAAAATTTAAACATAGAAGTGCTACAAGACCACTGGCACACTTCCTAATTACGTGCTTCAACCAGATTAACCAGCTGTTAACACTGTACCACATTTGCGTTATCACCTGTTGTTTCATACTTTTGTGTTTTTTTAAACTAGACCAACTTGAACCATAGTATCTGTGATACAATGGCTTTTTTGGATTGAATTATAGTTTACCTAAATAAAAATAAAATGTTCCCCAATCTCCTAAAATTTCTTCATCATGATCTTACCAATAGTAGATACAGCTGTGACATTCCCACATGCAAGGCACTGTTCTATACATTATGCTCATGACCCCACCCAGTCATCAGCTCTGAGCTGGGCAGCATGGTTTCCTGTATGGGTAAGGAAACTGAGGCAGAAGGGCAACTCACTTGCCCAGTCATACAGCATCTAGGTTGGATGTATATGTACACTTTCAGCTTATAAAATTCATCCAGCTTGGCTCAAGAACCTGATTTCTGAGCCACCTTGCTGTCACTTTTCTAGTTAGTTGGGCCAGGGATATTGTTCAGCAGCACAGCACCTGCTTGACAAGCTCAAGGTCCTTGCTTCCTGGTACCCACAAAAACAACAACAACAACAACAAAAAACCTTTTCTGGTTAGTGTCCATTCATTTTTATATGACAGTTGTATGAGGTAGAAAAAAGTGGGAACTGTTCTCCTGATCCAATATGCCAAAAAAAAAAAAAAAAAAATCCATTCATTTTTATATGACAGTTGTATGAGGTAGAAAAAAGTGGGAACTGTTCTCCTGATCCAATATGCCAAAAAAAAAAAAAAAAAAGGTACAAAGAGACAGACCGAAACTTGCCCCAGAATGAAGTGTCCTAAAAGCAAGAGAAATTGACTTCTTGGTAACAATGACAGTCGCTAGAGGCCCTTCCAACACTCAGACTTAATGACTTAGGTTACTACTGCCAATCAATCACCTAGGCAGTGAGAAGGACTAGAAGCATGCTAAAAGTATTTGTGTGTGGGAATTAAGCTAATATTAGCACAAAAAAAAAAAAAAAAAAAGCTAATATTAGCACAAATGTCTGATCTGAGGTTGAGGTTTAAAAATCCACTTCACCTTTTTTAGTACCAAAACTATAAATAAGACATATAAATTGTTTTAATTCTGGATGAATTTTATAAGCTGAAAGTGTACATATACAGAAGAAAAAGTACTAAGTTATAAATCAGAAAACTTGTGTCTTAGTAGCTCTCATCTACTAAGTGCTCAGCATACGCCATGGTCCTCCAACAAATATGTACCTTAAATGTATTATTTTGCCAAGGGTGGTGGCACATGTCTGTAACCCCTGTACTCTGAGAAGATGAGCACAAAGATAGAAAGTTAGAGCTCAGTTTGGGTAACTTGTCAGCTTTGCAAAACCCTGTCTTAAAATAAAAAAAAATAGGGCTGAAGCTAGGCGTGGTGGCAGACACCGGTAATCCCAGCACTTGAGGCATGCCAGCCTGGGGTACATAGGTGGTTCAAGACCACACTGAACTGAATAGCGAGAGCCGTCTCAAAATACAAAAACACTGAGGATAAAAAAGTATTCTCATTTTCAGTACAACCTTAAAGGTATGTATGGATGTACTGGTTCCACTTGAAAGAGGCCAAGAGACAGTCATGTCCACTGTTACGTAAAATTGGATCCAGATCTATCAGCCTCCATACCCAATGTTCTTTATCTCATGCTACTAGCCCTACTGTCCCAGTTTAACTGTCCCTGATACTGCGTTAGTCTGAAAATTCGCCATATCTATGACAGCCTCCTTATCTATGACATGCACTCACCTCAACATCAAAGTTAGTCATGTCAGCCTTCCACTTGAAATGATCTTGAACAGCACCCCCAAAATCTCTTGCAGCCTCATTTGAGGTAAAGCAATGTTTTTCTCCTGCCCTGTTGCATGTGACTCTAAACTTTAACACCTGAGGCTCAGTTTCTTCTTTGGAATGTTCATCAGTCTCATTTTTGGAAGATGCCAGGTCATCACCTACTAACGTTGATATTTCCTCTTTGATGGCTGGATTTTCATAATAGTCTAGGATACGTGAATCTAAAGCATTGTCGATAAATCCTCTATTGTCTCTCTCATCTAATTTGTCTCCTTGTCCGTTCACAATTTTCTCTTTACTTGAATTCAGATTTATCTTTTTGCGCTTTGTTTTTTTTTTCTTGAAACAAGTGTTAACTTCCCATACTTTTAAAGGATCTGACCATGGGAGTTTTCTGGCCAAGTCTTCAAAATCTTTCAGAGCTTCTTCCTATAAAATACAGAAAATGAAACCCATTCATTTCTCACTATTTATTTTATTTTATTTTTTTCAGAGTCTCACTATTTACTTCAGGCTGGCCTCAAACTTGCAGGGATCCTTTTGCCTTTAGCCACCTGCGTGCTGAGATTACAGTTAGGTGCCACCACTCCAGAGTTCATTTCTCTCTTGTCAAACAAATTACTTTGCTTACAGAGTACACTGGTCATTTTGTTGAAGGTGGGAAGGGGGCATAAGGCAAAAGAGTAGGAGAAAAGAACTGCCTTCAGTTAATGAAATTAAGATTTCAATGATAAATTAAGATATATACCTTAAACCAATAAAGAGTAATATAAGAGCTGGGCAGGATGGCACATGCTTGTGATCCTAGCACTTGCACTCAGGAGGCTGAGCAGTAAGATCACTGTGAGTTCGAGGCCAACCTCGGCGATACAGTGAGTCTCTATCTTAAAAAAAATAAATAAAACAAAACTTAAGTGATAAAAACTATAAATAATTTCTCTTCCTCGTCCCCTGCCCCCCAAGTACTAATGATTAAACCAGAGGGCCTCTGGTTTTTTTGTTTGTTTTCTTTTTCTTCCAATACCAGGAATCGAACTCACGATCTTGCACTTGCCAGGCAGGCACTGTGCTGCTGAGCTAAATTCCCCAGCCCCCGACCTAGGGCTTCTGTACACAGGTGCATCCCCAGACATTTTTATAGTTTGAGACAAGGTCTTGCTAGGTTGCTTAGGCTAGGCTTCAACTTCAGACCTTTCTGCCTCAGCCTCCCGAAGTGCTGTGATTATAAAGCATATACCTGTACCACCATGCCCAGCTTAAGTTAAAATTTAAACTGTGAGGGGCAAAGACGTGCATATCTGAAACAAAGAATGAAGCACCTCTACAAAGCAGGTAGCAAAGATAGGTGTGGTGGTGCGCACCTATAATCCCAGCACTCAGGAGGCTGAGGCAGAAGGATCACCATTAGTTCAAGGTTAGCCTGGACTATATAGCAAGACTCTGTCTCAAAGAAAAAAAAATGCAGGTAGCAAATAAACTTTACTTGGAACACATGCATGTGGTAAAAGAAGCATCCCTGGACCTTCTTTGTATCAAGCAACAGCAGGGGAGAGAAATGGAAGTTGAATAAGAATTTCACAAACATGCCACATTTGCCTGAAGTAGTCTATTGTTTTTGTTTGTTTGTTTTGTTTTTGTCTTTTTGAGACAGGGTCTCACGATGCAGTTCAGGCTGGCCTTGAGCTCACTTTGTAGCCCAGGTTGGCCTCGAACTCGCAATGATCCTCCTGCCTCAGACTCCCAAGTGCTGGGATTACAGGCATATGCCACTACGCCTGGCTGGAAGTAGTCTATTGTTGAGGTAGGGTGAGGAAATATATAGGAAATATCCATTGGAATCCCCTGGAAATCAGTTCCCGGAGCCCATGCAGATACCAAAATCTGTAAATGTTTCAGTTCCTTATACAAAAGACCTAGTATTTGCATACAACCCACACATCCTCCCATACACTTTAAATCAGCTCTAGATTACTTCTAATACCTGATGCAATGTAAATAGTAGTTACTACATATTGTCTGGGGAAATAATGACAATAAAAAATCCCTGGGCAGATTAATAAAGACTTTCAAAAATTTTTAATCTACAACTGATTGAACCCAAATGAATACAAAGGACAACTGTGCTCTGCTTTGTGACTAATGCTCAAGCTGCTGATCCCTTTCACCTAGGGAGAACTAAAGGTTAAAAGAACTCATTCAATGGAACAGGAATTATACCACGATAAAGCTATGAAAGGAAGAAGAAAAGAGAGAAAGAGAGAGAGGAAGGAAGGAAGGAAACGAATGGATGGAAGGAAATGAACAGACGGAAGGAAACGAATAGACTCATTTACTCACACTCATGTGTCAGTCAGGGAGAGTTCCTGCTGACCTGGTGTACACCTGTGGCTTCTCTACCTGAAGAACCTTTCATACAAAGCAGTTCCAAAAGGAACTCCCTCATTAAAAGATGAGCAATTATCAAAAATTACCTGCACAAGACTTACATGAAAGTAGTAACAGGAAAAAAGAACACACAAATAGGGAACAAAAGACAAAAAGCAGCAATCTTTAGAAAACATGCGACAAAACAATGAAAAACTGATTAAACACAATGACATAAAAAATATAGAGTTGTCAGGCATGGCGGTGCACGCCTGTAATCCCAGCACTCGGGAGGTTGAGGCAGGAGGAGGATGGCTGCAAGTTCAAGGCCAGCTTGGGCTACACAGTGAATTCAAGACCAGCCTGAACAACACAGCAAGACATTGTCTCAAAAACAGCAACAACAACAAAAAACAAAAATAAGAGGAAACACATATATAAATATGAGCTCAAAGCAGAGATACAAAACCAGAAAATGAGGTGAGCCCCAGAAAGAGATGGAACGGGAACCTGTCAAGTTCAAACAAAATATGGAATAAAAAAATGAAACCAACGCAGACCACAGTGAAAACAGCACATAAAAGACTTTTTCCAAAAGCACAACAAAGAATGTGGAGAAAAGCAAAGCCAAATAACAATGAGCAAAAAGGTAAAAAGGATCAGAGAGAGGGCCAGGGATTTAGCTCAGTGGTGCAGCGCCTGCCTGGCTAGCATAAGGTCCTAAGTTTGATTCCCAGAACCAAAAAAAAGGATCAGAGAGAAATAATAAGCATGAAAAAATAGTCAAACTGTGCAGAGTGGTGCACATCTGTAATCCCCCCACTCTGGGATGCTGAGGCAGAGGATTACAAGTTTAAGTCTAGCCTGGGCAAGTTGGCAATGTATTGAGACCCTATATCAAAATAGAAATAAAAAATTTAAAAAGGGCTGGGAATGTAGCTCTAGCTTCAATCCCCAGTCATACACCCCGCCACACACACAGAAAAGGTAAAAAGAGATCCCACATATGTATAACCAGTTTCCATACATGGATCTAAAATAATTTTTAAAATTCTTTTTCAAGTAACTCAAGAAAATTTTCCAGAAATGTAAGTGGACTGACATGTCTTGAAAAGGAATTATCAACAATGAGAAATTTTACCAAGCTGATTAGATTTCAAAGATTTTTTAAAAATCATTTGCTCATCACGCAAAAATATCAAGAAAGCAACAAAATGGGGAAAAATAGGATGAATTCAGTATTCCACGACATCTAATGATAGAAGAGAATGAACACTGAAAAATTCTTGAAAGAGGAAAGCAATTCCAAATTCTGCACCCAATCCATTAACCAAATACAAAGGTAAAAGACAATCATACCCAACTCAAGAAAATTAAAACAAGTCATAAATAAAAAACTTGATGGTCAACAGACTGAAGGCTGAGGCAAATGTTTAAAAAAATAAGGGTTTTTAAAAACCTAGAGCATGTTGCAATTTAAGTTCACAAAATCATGAGATTAACAAGTTTTCATGGTCAGACACAGACGTTTCCTTTTCATAAATCAAAATTATTGTAAGTCTTCCTGTTCTTCTGGGACTTTAGCCAAAAACCTTTTCTGTAGTTACTTACAAGGAAATACTGAAAAGCTAGCTCAAGTAGAATCATTCCATGATCAAATTTACTTCTAGAGAGCCAAGTGGCCCAGAATACAAATTTTAAAATGTCAAAAATGCAAGAATTTAAGGATATATTATAAATGCATATAAATTAAAGAATTTAAGATGGAAAGTTTTCTTTTAAATATTTGTTAATATTTATTTATATACTGTACAGAATTATCAAAATTTCAAAGTTTAGCAGCAAAAACTTAAAATAGATTGCCCGTTATCTATTAGTTTCACAGGTATGATTCAATTGGCAAGGGCTATCATGAAAAGGATATAATACTAGTGTTGAAACTTACATTCACAGCTAATAAAATTTTTATCTATTTTCAGTAATTAGTCTTTTCAGGTCTGGTCTTATTTTTTTCTAGGCTGTGGGTTCATATCACTTTGACTGTTTTTGTTTTATTTGATGGTACTGAGAACTGAACCAAAGGCCTTGGGCATGCTAAGCAAGCACTCTACCACTGAGCTACATATCAGCCCGTTTTTTATGTTACTTTGGAATGGGGTCTCACTAAGTTGCCCAGGCTGGCCTTACCTGGATAGCTGGTATTACGTGTGAGCCACCAGGCCCTGAAGTTTGACTGGTTTTTGAATAATGATTTGAAATGTCAAGCTGATGGAAATAAAGACTAGAGAATTAGCTAGTATATCATATTGTTTTAAGAAAGATTTCTAAGATAGGCAGAAAAATTTTTATGCATTTCACTCTGGAAACCTAAGAAAAAAATCCCTAAAGCTTTATTGCAATCTATTTTCAGCATTCCACTTGAGTGGCAGTTCAGTATTTAGGACTAAAATGTTAAAAACACACTGGAGAGAAAACTGTTGTCCTAACAATTGTAGGTATTTAAATATTACTTTGGCTTTATTTATTTATTTTTAAAAATTTTTATCTTTGACACAGGGTCTTGCTATGCAATTCAGGCTGGCTTTGAACTCACAACAATCCTCCTACCTCAGCCTCCTGAGTGCTGGGAATACAGGCATGTGCCACCACACCCACTGGCTTTATTTTAAAAATGAAGTTAGAGAAGTAGGCTCAAGGCAGAATAGTAATGAAGCATTACGTATAAATGACACAAACTATCACTTGTTTAGTTCACATTCTAGAAGCAATTCTATTTTGGAAATATTTCTATGTATTAACCAAGCTAATCTAAGGTTTCTATCTTTTGTAAGCAAGTCAAACAGTATCCTTATAAACTTCAATATTTTCCAATATTAATTATTTTTTTCTCATTTTTTTTGAGGCAGGATCTCACTATGTTGTTCAGGCTGTTCTTGAACTCACTGTGCACCCAGGCTGGCCTTGAACTTGAAGCAAACCTGTCTCAGCCTCTCAAGCACTGGGATTACAAGTGTGAATGACCACACCTAGTCCTTTCCAATACTCAATTTTAAAAGCAACTTTTGGAACGGACTGTCAGAAAATTCCTGATTTTACTATAAAAGGCTGTCAGAATTTAAGATATAAGTGGTAGTATAACTCAATAGTATAGCATGTGCTTACAATATTTAAGGCTCTGGGGTTTGATCCCCAGCACTGCTGTAACAGTAACACAAAATGACAGGCAGATTGTGAGAAGAAATAACTTCTCTAGGGAAGATGGCTAAAAATCAGCTATCATGTTTGGATTAGCTCACCTTTGTTTTTTTGAACTGGAAGTCTTTAAACTCCTCAACAACCACAAATAAGTTATCAACTGATCTCAGACAATGAACCTGTAAAGAAAGAAAAATGTTAGAAACAGATTTGTGAAAACACTTCTGAATGACAGAAGCTATCAATGATTAAATATTTAAAAATTTATGTACAATAGTTTAAAAGCATCTATTGTCTATATTTGTTATTTTTAAAGTTTCCATCTCCTTTTCTTCCATCTTTTTAGTTCCCCAGCAGATGCTTTTCCCTAGAGAAAGATGAGGACACAATGAAGGACAGGAGCCTGAAGTATTATATGGACAATATGGGTTTGAGAAAGGGGAAAATGAAGACAATCAAGCGGGTCTTTATTGTATTTTCCTCATGGCTCTCTATGGTACACTGTATATCACTAAGAGCTGAGAGAGATAGTGGCTAAGAACATGAGTTTGAACTCCTGCTTGTGATGATGAGCTGAGTGATTGTAGATAAATCACTTATTCTTCCTGAGCTTAATGATTAATGAGGATAACAACAGTGTCTATATTCATGAAGCTGCTCAAGGTATTAACTAAAATGTTTGATGCGACATAACTGTTTACCATTTCATCTCACAAATATTTCCTGGATGCCTACTATATGCTAAAAACTAAAAGTTCTGAATGTACAGATGAAAAACACCCAAACACAAGCTGGGTGTGGTGGTACACACCTGTAATCCCAGCACTCTGGAGGTTGAGGCAAAAGTATCCCTACAAATTTGAGGCTCAAAAGACAAACAGAAATATGAAACCTGGGCTACATATTGAGTTCAAGACCAGCTTGGATTATATAATGAGACTCTGTCTCAAAAAACAAACAGAAAAAACCCAGACACAATCCATGCCCATGTTTTGCTTATGTGATAACCTGATGTACCTTAGCTCTTGTTTTAGTGGGATGACAGTTTGCTAACCTTCCATCTCACCAGCACTAATTCCTAATTACTTCTGAGTAAGAATGTCTGACACAAATCAGAAGAAAAATTTATGCTTTTGTACTTTACCCAAATCTAAACTTTAGCTAGAGTCTGAAGTAAATAAAAGAAGTATAGCAGATACTCAGAATGTCTTCATAAATCACATAGGACTCTGGTGAATTCAATCACCAGGAAATGCTACATTTACTAATACAGCACACTAAGATAAACATATTTATAAAATACCTATAGAGAATATAGCATACTAAACATAGTCAAAAATCATGAGACAAAGATTCCAGAGGATTACCAGATCATAATATGACCAGTTTAGAAAACTATTTTAAATAGTGCTTCATTCAAACCTGTGCCAGACTTTCCACTGGAATGTCAAAATATATCTTGCCCCGGTCTTTGCTGATTTTGCATGATGACCCCAATTTCTCTCTGATTTCATCTGCAGCTGTTTGCTCAAAGCCAGTGGGGACAGTGGCTCCAATAGTGACATGAAGATGCTCAGACTCCTCTTTGGTGCCACTTTCTTCTGTCACTGGTACAGATCTCTGGTTCTCATGAAGGTTAACATCCAGGAGTTGGTTAGTAGCTTCTTGAATGTCAGACATTTTGGCAATGTTTCCAAGATCCCTAATAAAGTACACAAATGAAAAAGAAATAAAATCCAGATATTTTCACCTCATATTTCAATTATAATAAAATATTTCAATTATAATAAAAAATACTGTTTTGGAAGGCAGGGGCAAGGCAACACAACCATTATAACCATATTTAAGTGAGAATAGCACAGTTCCAAGCCAATGATTAAAACTCAGTAAGAAATCTGCCTTCCAGCTTGGTGTGGTGGCATCTGTAATCCCAGAACTCTGGGAAGCTGAGACAGGAGTATCATAAATTCACACCCAACCTGGGCAATTTAGTCACTTTGGGAGAACCTGTCTCTCAAAAATAATAAAGGAGGGGCTGGGGATTTAGCTCAGTCGCAAAGCGCCTGCCTGGCAAGCGCAACGTCGTGAGTTCGGTTCCCCGTACAGGAGGAAAAAAAAAAAAAAGGGGTAGGATACAGCTCCTCGCAAAGGCCTTCAGTTAAAAATAATAAAATCCATCTTTCTTCCTTTTATGAAGTATATTCATGAATTTTATTTTTTTGGTATTTTTTTTTGGTATTTTTTTTTTTCCAGTACCGGAAATTGAACTCACGACCTCACACTTGCCAGGCAGGCGCTGTGCCACTAAGCTAAATCCCCAGCCCCTATTCATGAATTTTAAAAAGGTTAACAACACTACCTAGTAACTACAAATATGGGCAAGCCTACCACATGCCTGAATCTGGGATCTAAGAATCGGCGTGAAGAGAGATCTCTGAAATGCCTCAAATAGTAAACCAACCTTCATGTATCTGAAGAGGGGTTTAATAGCTGTCACCAGATTTTCAAAAGGTTTGTGACTCAAAACAACTGAAGTAGTGGCTACACCATCCTTGTGCTGTGCCAGAGATAGGCGACAATGTTTAACATTACTAAGTAAGTTACCGCCCTTAACATGCTAACACTATGCAGGTGATTTCCGCCTTCTAAGGCAGACTGCGGAAGGACGTCCCGCCCAAGGTCACACAGCTTATCAGTGGCGCAGGCCGGAACGGAACTCACGTCTCTCTGCTCCCACTCGACGGGGTTAGCGGTCACAAGAACCTCAGGCAGCGGGGAAGGCCGGGGAGAGGCTGCGAGGTGGCTCCGCGGAGGAGCCAGACTGAAGTTCCACCCGACGCAGGACAAAGGCAGGCCCTTCCTCCCTCCCAGCAACACTCCGCCACTGCCGCCAACTGCCAGATTACCGCCGCCACCACAGACCCTTAGGGCTATAGCACCTCGAGATCCCCGAGTTCTCAGACCACGACGCCGAAGCCGCTCGTCGCTGCCGGAAGCGGAAGTAAGGCCGCGGGGTCACGGCAGCTACGTGCTAGAGGCCGCGCGAGACAAGGTTGTAGGAAAGAGCGTGCGCAGAAGGCTGATGAGGGGCAGCGTGTGGCTGGGTGCTCTGCGCCATGAGCTAATCGCGGCCCTGTCGCGCGTATTAGTAATAAATAACATTTGTGGAGTGCTTAGTGGTGCCCGGCGTTGGGTAAGCATTTCATGTGCACCATCTCACTTGTTACAATAATTATGAAGTGGTGTGGGCCGATTCCCGTTTTTGAAGCTAAAGAAACAATGTCAGACTAAATATCAGTTCTTTTCTTTTTTTTCTTTTCTTTTCCTTTCCTTTTCCTTCCTCCCTCCCTCCCTTCGTTCCTTCCTTTCTCTTTCTTTCCTTTCTTTCTCAGACCTTGAACTCCTAGGGATCCTCCGGCTTCTGCCTCCCGAGTGCTGGGATAACAGGCATGTGCCACCAAGCCCGGCTTAAATATCACTTTTTCACCCAGAATTTTATGCTCGGCTATTTACAGATAGAACAGGGATTTAAACCTAGCTGATGTGACTCCATAATTCTTGCTTTTAGTTCCATATTCAGGGTTGATCAGTCTAGTTTCTGATCTCTGTGTTGCCTTCACTATTTTTGTACTATTTTTTACTTTATATTTTTTAAAAGGAAAGTTTTGCAACTCTACAACAAGAAAACAGTCCAATTTAAAAAATGACAAAGGACTTGAATTGGGTATTTCTTCAAAGCTACACCTATGGCCAAGAGGACATGAAAAGATACTGAACATTACTAGTCAGTAGTGAAATGCAAATGAACACAATGCAAATGGATTATTTATTTAGTGAGACAAGGATTATTTACTTATTATTTATTTAGTGAAGTTCAGGCCATCCTTCAGCTCTGGGTATCCTGCCAAGGCTCTGGAAAACTGGGATCACAGGCATGAGCCCCTCTACCCTGGTGGCAAATGGCTAAAATTGGCAAGAATAGGACCCTTCCAGTGGGTTATACAACAGTCTGCAGCCATTAACCTGTTGGCCACTGTGCTCTCACCCTATCAGTGAAAACACATGCTCACTCTGCAGAGCATACTACTTTTCCTACCTTTAATAAATGAAAAACATTGTTACCTTTTGCTCTTGTCTTGTCCAATTCTTTGTTCAGAACAAGAACCTGGATGGAAAGTCTCTAGACGGAGTCTACTGCAAGCCAGACCCTCATATATAGTAATTCTACTCTAATATATATACATGTACCTAAGTGACTGGAAGCATGTTCAAGCAAGGACTTGAACATAGATGTGCACAACCAAAGGTGGAAACAACTCACATGTTCTGGAGGTGATGAATAGGCAAACACTAGTAGTACTATATCCATACAATAGAATGTTAGCCCTAAAAAAAGGATTGAAATATAATTGCATATTAGATGAACCTTGGAAATGTGTTCAGTAAAAGAAGCCAGACACAAAGACCACAGACATGATTCCATTTATATGAAATGTCCAGAACTGGCAATTCTTTTCCATTAGAATATAAATCTAGAGCCTAGAATAAGAAGTCAAGCATTTAAGGACTTTTTCTTCACTGCTGCATTCCCAGTGTCTAAAAGAAGGCCTGTTACATAACAGATGCCCAGTACAGTCTGTTGCTTAAATGAAAGACCTAACACGATACTACTGGTGGGTGTCACATCATTCCTGAACTATGTAGCCAGACCCCTCAGGAAAAAAAAAAAAAAAAAAAACAACTACAATGAAAACAAAAATGTTAAATTCTGGTCAAATACTGTTTGGTACAAAAGACTTAGTAGGCTGTAATTATAAAGACCATTGTCTATTTTTTAAAGATAAATTAGCAAAAATTAGAGACAAACAATGAGACTTTGACATAGTGAGACTGAAACATTGCACAGAAAACATTCTCTTGACATGATTCAGTGTTATTTAATGTATCTTTATCTAAAATCATGTCACATACACAGGTGTCATACTTGGGAATACTGATGTGACACCCACCAGTAGTATCGTGTTAGATTTATATTCTAATGGAAAAGTGACACAGTGTAGTTTTTAAAAATATATGTATATATATAATATTCCTGGAATAAGTATTATGGAGGAAAACTAAGGAAGGCTGGGGTGGAGCTGCATAGAAAATTCTAGAGAGGTAGAGGGCAATGCAGTTTTATGTCAAGAAGTAGGAAAGGCCTCCCTGATAAGTTGACAAAGAAGAGCCTGAAGGAAATGAGAGTAAGCCATGATTGGAAGAAGAGCCTTCTAGGTTAAGGGCAGCAACAGGCTCAGCAGAGTTTTGGAATAGTCAAGAGGCCAGTGAGACTGGTGAGGAGGGAGGGAGGAAGGGAGACAGAAATAGAAGATGCGATAGATTGAGTGCATCAAACCAATGTTGTGCAAATTATGGCCATGACTTACAATGAAAAAAGTACTACTCTGAGCAAGGCATGGTGTGTGTTTTAGTCAGGGTTTTCAGGGAATAGATTTAATACAGGACACATAATTTATAGTATTATTTTATAATATTCACACAAAAAGTCAAATGCAGAAGAGTGCAAGGGATCCGTTCATGCACTAGAGACCCAAAGAATATAGCTGAGGGCCTGGATCCCATGGCAATGTCCTTGCAGGAGTGTTCCCAAAATTTAGTAATAGCTGTTTCCAGTAGCTGAACCTTCTAATCTGGTTTACATGAATATCTATTTACCCTTGCCTTTAAAAACATTCTTTGTGGTGCTGGGGATTGTTTGAATTTAGGGCTTCATACCTGAGCTGTACTCTACACTGAGCTGCACTCCCAGCCCAGCCATGCTTACAGAACAATAAAACTGTGGTTAGAAAGTCACATAGTTCAGCCACTCCCCGCCCATCCCTTTCCATTCCTTTTTCACAAAAACAGAGTATTGTGCTTTGTGCTTTTAGTTCATTTGGTGATTACCTCCATGTCTCCAAATTGTGTGCACTTGTTGATTTTTTCACTTTAGGTATTTTCTAAGGAAAATATCTTATGTACTTCAAGTTTAATTTACTAACTTTACACCATTCTATTTCCTCTTCCTTCTTCTGCCATTATAGTTACTACTCAATATAGTATGTTCTGCATGAAATCTACCTTTGTAAGTTAAGTGATTTGTTAAACATCTTGTTCTGTCAACTATAGACAACGTCCTTGATCTCCTGCACTGTAAATTGAGGGTTTTCTTTTCTTTCTGGCCTTTCCCTACTTCTCCTTCCTTCCCATACAATTACCTTTATTAAAAGAGGGTCCTGCCTGTCTGGCTGGATCCCCATGGCTATGTAAGGGATGCCCCTACTCCTGCTTCTCTTCTGGTGTAGATGGAATCTCCTCCAAAGAAGCCTTTTAGGACCTCACTGGGAAGTGAGATTTGTCTATAGTCCTGTTAAGGAAATGACAGCGTAAGTGTCCATGAATGCTAAACCCAAAGGACCTTTGTCCTGTTGTGTGTTAACTAAAGTGGAAGACAGCCGTGCCCTAAACAAGCACTGATTGTTTACTTTTCCCATGCCCTTTTAGGCAAAAGGCTGTAAAAGTGCTTTAGTAATATAAAACTATTAGAGCTTGTGACAGAGTTGGTGACATTGCAGTGAATTTTCAGGATCATGTAGGTGAAATTTATCAGTTCTCCTTGACTTTCATGTTGATAAGTAAGCTGCCTTGAAAGCAGCTCATTCATTTTGAGAGGAACTGTGTGTCAGCTGTCTTTGAGAACCTGGGGCAGAAGGTAAGGAACCGGCTAGCGAAACACCCCTGACACCTAGTGGTTACTCGTGTTGAAACACTGCACTCTTTCAAAGGGGAGAAAACATGAAAGGAGTTGGATTAGCACAGGCAGCAACTGGGAGATGTCCATTCCCGCCTCCCTTTGTAGAATCAGAACTAAAAGAACAGTGGCCAGGGGGAGTGCAGTAGGTAATGTGGATGTTGCCAAGCTTCCACATGAGGCGGCAGCTGCAAAAAGAAAGAAGTTTCACACATGAGTAAAGTGAGGGCCAGCAGTGGGCAGGATCTCTCAGTGGTGAACACTGTAGCAACGCATGGGGCTAGAGCACAGAGAACCAGGAACAAGGCCAGCAGGGACAATGATGACAAAGTCATGAGGCTCCTAGTCACTGCACAGCTGCTGCCCAGGAGACTGTGGTCTAGGGGCTATGCTGCAGTTTGATCCAGGGTAAAACCAGGACACTGAGAACAGCAATTTATAGACAATAATACTTACAGAACACACACCATCATCCATAAGCATTGCGTTGGATTCATTCCAGGGCACCTCGTGGATATCACAGTTCAAATGTGCTCAAATCACTTGTAGAAGACAGAATAGTGTTTGCAGATGACCAGTGCATGTCCTCCTAAATACTTTAAATCATCTCTAGATTACTCACAGTGTGTAAGTAGTTGGTTTACTGTATTGTTTAAGGAATAATGAAAGAACAAAAAATCTATAGTACATATTTAGTACAGATAAAAATTTTTAAGTGTTTTCTGTGATTGGTTGGTTTCAGAGATGCAGAGGCCCTAGCCGCACAGGGCAGATTTTCTTGGTCCCGGCAGTGCTTTGCCTGCATTATCTCATCCTTAGCCACTTAAACAGGTGATGAAGTGGAGGCTAAGTATCCCAAAGTCACGGAGCTAATGGGTCTGAGAACCAAGAACACAAAGCAAAGTGTTTTTGCCCCTGCTCCCAATCTCTCCAATACTATGCTTTCCTGTTTCCCTTGGGGAGGAAGGAACATGAGTTCAACCCTCTAACCCTACTGAGCTGTATATGGAAGGATGGCTGTTATTTGGGACTGTAAGGCAGTTAAGAGCCAGTTCTAGATCTGGCATCTATATGCTTGAGGATATTTAGCCTCCCAAAAGTTGGCTTTCTCGGTTATACAGTGGGGGAAATGGTGGCGATCTTGTAAATTGCCATGGAGATTCACTGAGATGATGTGAGGTTTCTGCACATGGTAAATGAGGTAGGTGACTGACCAAAGACAGTCTCTGACAG